GGCTCGTACAGCTGTGGGCTGACCTGGTCACACACCCCAGCTCTGTTAAGGACAACTCCTCACCCTCGTATAAACCCTTCACTCAGAGGATCACAGAGCGCTTTGCAAATGCCTGCTTATTAATCCTCACCACGGTCCTGGGAAGAAATAAGAGACACAGGGGAATCACCTCATTTGCTGTGGAGAGGGGGCGCTTTCTGGGGCGAAACTGAGGCATTTAACAGATGAGAACAGGGCTGTTCCAGCAACGCACCAGCCAGAAATGAAAGGAGTTAAAATCGTGGTGAATGAGGGGAACTTTAGGCAGGAATAGTGTGATTAATCACACTGAAACTTGGCTAAGACAACAGTGAAAGGCACCATGTGATTTTTATCAGGCTCTGTTAGTGCTCCACTCATACTCCAGTGTGACAGGTAATGCAGCATCCCAGGAGAATGGGCTGGGATGACAGGATCAGTACTCAGCTAGGGAGGGAAAGGGCTGGGCAAAACTTCCAAAAGCAACAGCATGACTGAGATTGTTGGACGTGACCCACTGCTGCCCATCAGGCCTCAGGCTGGTTCACTGGCTGAGAAGTTCTTGCTCCTTGTGACTGCAGAGACAAGTGGCTCTCAGCCCATAACCCAGGACACTGTTGTCACCTGCTGTTTGTGTCACACGTACCCCCTACTCCTTGACAAGAGGTGCTTTTGGCCGTTCCCACTGCTGAATTTGTGTTGCCTCAGGCAGACAAGACGAAGGCATGACTGGTCTTTACCTGCAGCTTTATTCTCCCAGTTAGTTTCTGCACTTTGGACTGCCTACCTCTCCTCAATCCTACCGTTCCCTTGGAAAGCTCCTCAGCTCAGCCACACCCTCCTGCACGTGCAGGATATGCACAAAATCAGAGGCAGGCACAGCTACATAACACTCACAAGGTGGTTTACTAATAATCCAGAAACTACGCTTGCCAAAGTGGGATTATCTGAAAAGCAAACTCTACTCAGTTGCAAGACGAACACTGCCTGGTCCCCAAGCCCAAAAAAGCCCAGATGACAATACTGGCAAGGCAGAGAAGGTCACTTGGAGCTCCTTTCCACTCCAGGATTTCAGGAAATGCGAATTTGCCAATCCTTTAACTCTACCAGTTCATTTCAGAGCAGATTATACAAGACTGCAGGACTCTAACAGGGACTGGGCACACTGTGTAAGTGCACCTCATTTTGCAAATGCTACTGAACCAGCTCTAGATGATGGCAGGAGGTGGAGGATGAGATTGTATAAGCTGAATGAAGCAAGTGCTCAGTCTTTCCTTCTGGGCACTGATAGCTCTAGTAATTATCAGTGCCAGCCCTCTCAGCCCTGTGCCTCTGCCCAGGCCACGTATCACTCTGAGGTGGCTTTTGTATCCTCATTGCAATGAAGGATTTTATCCTGCTAGGGTTTATTATTCTTTTATAGACTGAAGGGCTTCAGCCTAATCTTTCAACAAACAAAAGGAATCTTTCAACATTTCAATGCTGTTGTAATTGGTTCCAAAAATAGCACCCTCAGAGCCACATTTCTTAAACTTCTCAAGTCCAAGGATTAACCTTTTTTTCAGATAAAAAAAAATAATCCAAAGACCAACTTGTATATTTTTCATATATCAAATCAAATAAACAAAAGACTGATATTTGAAAGTTCACAGAATCAAAGTTAATCTATAGTAGCTCTTATTTCCTCCCATTTTGTTTGCGTCCTTGCTTCTGTGGCTGTCGGAGGGGAGGAGAGAGGGTTTACTGTTGTTTCATGAGCCACCACTGAATGTTTTATTGACCACCAAAGGCCTGTGGATCAGAGTCTGAGAAACACTTTAGAGATAAACAGGCTCATTACAGGCAGCCCTGACTCTGCTCTGCCTTCTGGCTCAAGCTGCAGCAGAAGTTCTGACTTTAACTCCTTTACCCACTGAAGTTGCCACCCCTGGGGACCAGGTGCTCTGCACAGCTCCGTTCATGCCATCCTGTCCTGGCAATTCTTGTGCATTCAGTGTATACCCCTGGATCCAGGCCATGCTCCGTGTACTCCACCCAGGTCAGCTCCATGGCAAAGAACCATTGCCCCAGGGATGCAGAATAATGCCAGTTTGTCCTGTATCTTAAAAAAGACAGTATGTGTCCTCTCAGAGAGGATGAGTTGTCTCCACTGCTCCTCTGTTGTCGTAAACGGCTTTTCCTGCCAGGAGAACTGGCCTCAGTGCAGCCCTCTCTCCCAACTCCCCCAGCTGTCTCCAAATTTCGCAAGCAGACACCTTGGCACCTCCCACTGCCTTCGGACCGTGTTAGTGTTGGCCGCCTGGGACTGATGGCTTCCATCTTCTTTCTCCTTGTTTCATTAGCTGTCACGCTGGGGGTTTTGATCTTCCCTGGAGCCAAGCCCTGCCAAAAGATTTACTCCACTGCAGTGCTCCGTTTCACATAATTGCCAGGGAAAGCTGCGCAGTTGGTAACGACCAAGGGAAGGGAACAGGCTGGATGCACTCAGGATATGGCGTTCACATATTGTACTTTCATAAAGGTATAGCAATGGAAACATTCCCTATTTTGATTGTCCCAAAGCCACAGGAAAAAGGGAATTAAGGGAATTGATATGTCTGGGATAGATGCCAGCTCTGATTTACTCACATTTTTACCCTGATGTGAAATACCTTGGTCAGAGATGGAAAACTTTTATAGAAGACGTGAACCAAATCAGGCCCTGCAAGTGCTGGTCTCCAGCTAAGAGCTGTCTCAGCTGGCACAGCCCAAGAAACACTAAAACAAAGGAACTGGGAATCAAATGGGCAACAGCAGCTCTGTAAGAAATTTCTTCCCTTCCTCCAGAGGGTTTGGACATACCCACACTTGCAGTCTGCCTTCTAACCACAAAGTGCCTAAGGTACCAGAACACCAGTGAGTTAGGATGTAGGGCTTGGCTTGGCTCCTGGAAAGAGGATGTGCTTTATCATCAAATCCCAGCATGATTTGGTATGGAGAGGCACAGAGCGGTCAAGGCAGAGTGGTGAGCCCAAAACAGGGTTGCCTTTGGAAGCAGTATAAAAAGAAAATATCCTTGCTAACATAACCTCGCCTTCCAGTTTAACCTCCATGTTCCCTCAGAGAGTGCAAACATGCCTGCACATATTTTAGGCATAGCAACCCACTTAGGAAGAGTCAGATGTAGTGTAAGTCCAATTAAAGCAAAATGGAATGAAAGTCCCAAATTATTTCAATGTGTCAGAGTGAGGAGTTTGCAAATCCACTGGTTATTGCAAAGTTGTTCTGGGAAAAATAATTTCTGTATAGATTCCATCTCACTTTGCTGAATTCCATGGGAGTTTTGCCATCAATGGGAGAAGGACCAACACATACAGGCAGACTTTAGCCACGCATTAATTGTGCTTCAAGCCAAATGCATTTGCTCTTACGCCCCAATCCTGCAATGGATTTTCTATAGCTAGGTCTCTGTCCCTGCAGTGATGTCCACTGAACTCACACCAGCGAGATCTGACTGCAAGATCCCATCTGACTGTCCAGAAACCTCTAAGAACATATATCTGCATTAATTTTACTGAGATTAATATGAGTTCAATTGAGGGCAGAGTTTGATGAAAATATCTCATAACACATCAAGCTGGAGGGTAGATCAAAGCTGTTTTTTAGCTCACTAATAAACCAGAACAGAAATAGCACTGCAGAGGAAGCAGCTAATTTGTTTGTGATGGCTCCCTTCTTTGGGAAGGTGAGTACAGAAACCACAGAATTATTACTGCTAAAATAACTAAAACAAAATGCACAATTAAGCAAGCCTTTAATGTAGGATATCATCCATAATTATTTCTCTTGTTAAAATTCCCAAACACCAAACAGTGGGATGAAGCATTCTGCCCACATCACTCACCTCCAACCTCTGTTCAGAACAGGGTCAATTAGTGAAGATCCTTTCTTGATTTATGAAGCACAGCAGGGGTTTTTTGCATGTGTTTAAATATTTACAGAACCCCAGAATTCTGGTAGCATAAACTAGATTTACACCAACTCAGAGTGCCACCCAAAGATGGGGTTCCTCCAAGGGTGTGCTCTGCAGTTGAGCTCGTTGCTCTCCAAGGCTTTCTAACACACAGTTACCACAGGGCAGATACTGGCATGTTTTTTTAAAACTTGCTAGAAAGACATTTGGTCCCTTAAATGTAATTTATGTCATTCAGCTAGAAAGTTTGTTTTCAGTATAAAATACTTTTTAATCACCTCTGTTAAGTCTTTCTACTTCATCTCATCTGGTTCCTATGGAAATGGCAAGTCTTCCAGAACTGCAAATTTTGTTTCCTAGCCAATATTAGGAAAACTGGGTTTTTTCCACTACCTTCTGAGATAGTATTTGCATATAAATACTGTTCAAGTCTCAGAAAATATGTTTGAAATTATTATTATTCATTACACTGAAGACCTCCCATGTTTCTGTTTCATTTTTCTCCCTTTCCACATAAGCAAACAAAAAATCTTCCATTTGCTTCTCCACTAATCCTCACCTCCTTTTTACATGCAGTTCTTCTTTACCTGAATTCTTGTTATAAGTAAAAAAAGAAACCCAAAGAGAAAAGAATAAAAGTTGACACCTTTTTGGTCAAAACAGCACTTCCCACCCTTGATCCATGGATGGCTGGCAAGGTTATAAAAGTCTGTAGTTGGTCTGGTGAAGCAACTCTTTTTAAAAACTCTCTATTCAAAGTTGAACAATACAAGTGTAAGTGCTCCAAAAGGCATAAAGAAGGTTGTCAGGTTCTTTGCCATGGTTTGGGAGCCTCAGAGCAGAAGAGCATGGATTGCATATCTTTTTCTGTATGACAAGCTACAGTGAGCTGAACAAAAAGTGATGGACTTCCCGAGCAGGGTGAACACCTCACACATTAATGTCAAGTAGAAGAGACCTGAGTGAGCCAGAACCACTGAGGCTACTCTGCTATTGCACTGCCCTTTTCACAAGCACACGCTGAGGGTACCTGCTCATGGATTCACTGAACATCCTGGGCTGGTTGCTGGTGCTTTTTTTCCACCTCTCTGCTGTCCCCCACTCGCATTTCAGGGCTCCACCTCACTGCTGTGCATGCACTTAGGATGGCACTTCCAGGTGTAAAACGAGCCTCAAACACAGGGAGAGACAACACTATCCATTAGGCAGTGAAACAGCAGGGCAGGGCTACAGACCTGTCAATGCAAGTGCTGTGCAAGCCTCTGCTTCCAAGTCTTGTGAAAAACCATCCTTCCCCTCTACTTGGAAGGAGGACCCAGAAGGGGAGATGCAGCTGGAGAAATCTGTTCAGTTTGGGCAGGAAGGAAAACAGGAATGTGTTTGCTCTCCCCTATACAGGTCACTTTTGAAAACCCCACTTGTTCTGACATTGTCCCAGGCAAGGAGCAGACAGAGCACAGCACCAGATGAGAGCCACATGCTGAGATCAAGTGGTGAGAATCTTTCCTGTGTCTTTGCATTGCTCCCGCAGGGCACCTGAATACCAGAGACTTGTGAGCAAAGAATTTACCTTCTCAGTATGATCACTCTTGAGATTAGCACAGAAACAGAACAATAATATACATTTTAGCTGTCCCCTTGTTACCTCCTCACATACCTTTGAGTTCTTCAGAATCTTCTCAGTTGTTGACAAGGAAGTTCTCCTTTAAAAGAACAGAAAAATATGTTTTGTTACTGTCTTCACCGGGTTGTGAGATATACAGAATTCCTAATAAGACCATCCCCTCTATCCCTATAAAGAAGCTATGAACAAGCCAAGAGCCTGTGTCTTTTCACCTGCTTCATGAGCTACATTTTGGAGATTTTCAGGACTTGTGCAGCTGGGAGATGGCTAAAACAGTGCTAAGGAGGGGCACAGATCTCTGGGTTTTGCAGCCGCAGCACCCACGGAAAGAAGCCCTGACATGGATGCTGGCAGTCGTGGGTGAGCCTTCTTTCAGAGGAAATGGAGATGTGCTGGGAACCTCCCAAGAGAGCAAAAGAATGCTTCCAGACAGTCAGGTGGAGCAGCCTGCTGGCTCCATCAACCTGACGGACTTGGCAGCCTCTCCTGCTCCGGCTGGCCAGGATCCTGGAGTCTGCAAAGCTGCAGGCAGAGTTACTGAATTATTGGGAGAAAACAGATACCTGCATAAGCTTATACACAGTCACACACTCACACACACACATATAACCACACACATACATTTATACATATCACGGAGTAAGCCTGCAGGATATATGAACTCCTGGCACGACTATGCCTTATCCTATAATGACTAAGCTGTCTCTGTTAGGCGTATTAACTCTGCAGGAGAGCTCTGAGATCTTCCTGGACAAGATTTAAAGATGCATTTTTATTAGCTTTTGTAGAAGAAGCACTGACTAAAAGCTCCAGAAGCTTGCCCAACAACCTCACATTCCCTGGGTTCCTCTAAGCCTGAGTCCTCGAAGTCTTTATGTAGCAGAGGCCAAATCCCATTTCCAGCTCCAGTCTCGGCACCAGCCTCTCTTCAAGGCTCTCCACTTCTTCAGCCCAGAGCTGCTTACGTCAGCAGTAGTTGGCCAAGAGAAAAACAGAACAATACAGCCTTTATAGATTAGCAATATTTCAATTTACTGTAAATGATGCAGTATATAACACAGCTCAGAGGAGTAATTTGTCATTCTTTCGGATCCTTGCTCTCCTTTCTCTTCTTTCTTCACCTCCCCCTTTTTCATTTCTCCTCTCTTCCACTTCTATCTTTTTGCCTCCTTTTCTCTCTCCTTTCTGCATTTCCTCCCTTCCAACAGATCCCACCATTGTTCTGTTCCAATCTCTACCTCTGTGTTATCTGCTAAAATCACTGACAACAGAACATCTAAGTGGAGATGCATTCCAGTGTCCTGGAAAGGGATGCATCAAGCAAAGAGAGCAGGACTTGAGGGAATGGAGGACTGGGATATGCAAGAAGAGTTAGAGGCAGGAAAGACCTGGGATACATCCACTGGTATAGGCAAAGTAGAGAACTCACCCCCAGCAGTGGCTAATAGAATTGTCTACAGCACTTCTGCCTAGAACTGTCAGTCCAAGAAAAATTATATATCATAGCCATAAGGAGAAAAGTAAATAGAAGTGTTTCAGCTTTGGAGTGTTGGATATTTGATCTTATCTGGAACGAGTGTGTGTGTCCATGTGTGCATACATCACTGTTTTTATTTTATTACAGAGTGCTGTTATGCAACTTCCCTTCCCATTTTGCATAAATCTTCCTTTTCAGACATGTGGTCACTGGTTTAGGGAATATTTACTGTGAAATGCCTCCGTTTTTGCAGACCCAACTTTTCTTGGTTTCATTCTCGGGACTACACGGCACAACCAGAGCCTTTGCCACAGATGTTCCAGACATTGCTTTTAAAAAAATTATCCTGACCAAAATTGGTGCTTTGGCCCACGTGAACTGCTAAACATCATCACAAAGCAGCAATTAGTCTGTAAGTTACTTAAGATCTTTGCCTCCTCAAACCTTAATGTTTAGGTCACATGGAAAAGTGCACTTATGGACACAAAACCAGGTTGCCATATTTGTTCAAACTCATCTTTGGTCCTCTTCCAAAAGCCAACCTCCCAGCTGACATTTGAGGTGTTGCTCACCTTACTTGGATGCCTGCTCAACGAAGGAGAAATCCCTTCTCCACTGCAAGTACAGGCCTTCCTCAATTCCCTCTAGAATTTAGGCCTCCAAAACTCAGGAGTCAGACTCCTCCAGTGCTGCAAAAGCCCAAGTTCTCCATGGACAGTCCATCTGCAACACAAAGGAGCTGCTTCTCCCAAGCCAGGACTCAGAAGATGCTGTGCAACCTAGCACAACTCCACTGACCCAGCGAGTTCCTGTTCTAGCCACAAAGGAACTCTTTGCCTTGCTAAGTTCTTTTTCTCTCAAGGTCACCTGACAAACAAAAACACTTTCAGAGAAGAAAACTCCCTTGAGCTCATCCCTTCTGTTCTTGGGATGGATGCCAGCCCAGGTTCCCCTCAGCTCCTTCCCAGCCACACAGACAATAGTTCTTCACCCCTCATTATGCATAAAGACAAGCTTCCAGGTGCCAGATGAAAGCATGAACACACATGCACTTCCTAGTATTAAAGACATTCTGCAAAGCATGGAAAACCTTCAGGACAGTCAGGAGAGAGAGCAACAGACAAGATGAAACACTCAGTCTGCATTCCCAAGGCCTTCAGTGCACTGAAAGCTCTGCAGCCTCTCCCCTTTCCTTGGGATTTGGCTGCCTGTGCTACAGGCCAGCTCTGACACAGTGCTACTGGGATCACACTGCTGTGAAAAACAATGGCAAATACTGACGAGCAGCCTTTACAGGGCCCTTCCCCACTTCCCATGGGAGCTGGCTTTGAGCTTGGGCTCTTGGTCCTCTATGACCTATGCTCATCCACCTTGCTGATCCTCATCCTGGATGTGGGGGGAGAGGTGTTCCCTATTGTCCGTGGAATCAATCAGATCCAGGAGCTGGTGTCCACGCCCTTGCTGCAGTGCACTCCCCCTGCCTACTCAACACCAGGACAGGCAATTCAAGCACACTGGTCCCTATCACAAATGAGTGATGATCTTGTTCTTCAGGCCACCTTCTCAGGTTGGAACTGGCCCCAGGCACAACTGTTCATGACACATCTCCAGGACAGGAGAAAGCTGGAGATCATACTGCTGCCTTTTAAAAGACACAAACAGGGAAACGTGCCAAAGTAAAATCACAGGGAACTTAATTTCACCGTCATTCTTCCTAAACTCACAGGGCTCTTTGTGCCAACGTTGTATTTTGCATCATGTTTCCTTTCTTTACAGTTTTCTGTTCAGCATAAAGTGATATGAGAGCACAGAAACCCATCACTGGAGACAGTGAAAGCCTTCCTGGATCATCTGTTTCAGAGCAGGTCTCTATCTATCCCCCAGTTTTCACTTGCTGTAAAGTTACCCAGCCATATGTTTGCAATTAAAGTCTCAGTTCCTCACAGGCTCATGGCAAATAGTCTGCTTCACCTGGGTCACATCTCTAAAGGGAATTCCCCCAGACTGGATTTGCAGGCCATATTCGGTGGCAGCTCTGACACAGGTATTAGCCATAATGGAATCCATGTCAATTATGAGTTCATCCATTCGTTTTCCTATCCAGGCCTCCCACTCAAATTTCAGAGATCTCCTTCTAAAATGCAACTTGACCCATTTTGGAACAGAGAGAGTTCCTTAGTCACTCCATTTGAGACCAATTAGGCTGTTTGATTTGGGATCCTTTATCCCTCAGTGCTCTTAGCCTGTCTGTTCCAATAAATGTTGCAAAAAATCCCAGTGTCTGAAATCCCCGCAGGCTTCATGGACCCTATTTCCTACCCAGTAACTGCACTCCTTTCACTGACCTGAGTCAATCACAGACTCTGGGGTTCCTTTGTCTGTACCAGCTCCATTTCCTTGAAATGCCCTTCAAATTTATGCCCATGGTGGCCATGAGGATGAGAAGGAATGACTGACTTGTAATGCTTTCTCCTGGCTCAAGAGCTTGGAGCAATCTCTTTTGCAGAGAACCCACGATGTGAACACGCTCTAAGAGTTCACTTTTAATCGACCTCCCTGATTTGCTTGAAATATTGATCAAATCCTAACTGCTTCCTTTCCAACCACCTGATGGATGGTCCACTCAGCCCATGGGTTTGGGGAGAATTCCAGCTTTCAAAACAAGGAAATCACAGATTTGCTGTGATTATTGGAGCTCAAAGCTTTTGTTTTATGTGTCCTTCCCAGATGTTTCCAGCCTCTCATGTCCCTGTAGACAAGTCAACGGTGCAGATTCAAGGCTGAAAAAGGAAACAAGGTTGCAGGTTGTGAGAAGACATCTACCTGCTTTAATTCAGCAGTCTTTAGAAGTTCTCCCCGTGTTCCAATCCAGAATAGCCTGCAAGGTTTGTGAAATCAGGGTGCAACCACAGTACAAAAATAATTTAAACCCAATATAATGTAGACCTTTGACTGAGGAATGAGCCTGAGCACATATTTAACTGTCATCACAAAGAAGATGGCTTTCCTCATTAGGTGCTCAGATGAATTGTTAGAGGAGAAGGGCTGGAATTGGCTCTTCTCTCCTGAGCCTCTGGGAATGACCCTGAACTTTCTGTGAGGGAGGTGTGTTTCAGAATCCAAACTTGAACCTGACTCTGAAGTTGGCCACTCACCCCCTCTGCACACAGCAGACCCATCCCAGCTGAAGGCCTCCATGGCCTTGTGCTACACTGGGAGTTCAAAACCCAGATCTGGATTTTGCAGCCAGGGATCATCTCCGACTTTCCCGGCTTCAGAACCGCAGTTCCACTTGCTTTATGTTACTTGCCTGTTGGCTTTGTGGGAAGAAACAAGTATTATTATTTAAAAACCCAACCAGTAACAATCCAAAAGACAGCAATGCTGTCCCAACAACATTCCTCCTTGCGGGGCAAGGAAGAAGACAACTAAGCACAGCAGTACCCACATCCTTAGCCCTTTGGGCCTCACAGCATTTTCCTCCTCTTTTCTCTGCCTTTGTTTTGGGAGTTTTATTTCAATTTTTATCACTTTGGCTCGTGCTGCCTGAGAGGCAGGGACCTCCTCGGTGTTGTTGAAGTGTTTACTCAAGACTGGAGCAC